TAGTAGCACGCACGATCGACGTGGGGAGTGGGGACTACTTTTTATTATTTTTTAAGTTGCTTTTGTTCTTTCCTCCCTATTGCTGCAATGGACGTCAGTTTCGAATGGGTGCAAAGTTTTTAAAGTATACGGGCGTATATTTGAAGTATTAAATGTAGACTAATAACGAAACAAATTATAGATTCTGTCTGTAAACCGCGAGACGAATTTATTAAGTCTAATTAATCCATCATTAACAAATATTTACTGTAGCATCATATTATCAAATCATAGTGTAACTAGACTCGAAAGATTCGTCTCGCAATTTACATGCAAACCGTGTAATTGATTTTTTTCCATATTTAATGCACCACGCATGTGTCCAAACATTTGATATGATGTTTTTGGCTAAAATTTTTTAGAATCTAAACAAGGCCTAAGGTAAAAAATATTTTTCCGGGAACCATCGTTATAGTAGCTGGTAGTTGCCTACATGAAATAGGGGTGGAGATATTTCGATATATATGGACCTGCATGCAAAACATAGAAACATAGAAATGATTAAACTACTCTTGTTCAACAAGACTTAGGAATGATTAATAAACCACTATTGTTTTTTATTTAGTACTCCCTCCATACTGGTAAAATATAACGTTTAGGACAACATTTAGCATACTAAGGGGTGATTAATTAGGGGGTATTTTTCTATATCTGTCCCTATTAAATACAGTTGTGCGTAGCATTCCATTTGAGAAGCAAACTTAACTCAAGCGGCTAGTGCGGTGAGGCTGGAGTCCTTGGGATGATTTTGCATGGGAAACGAGGTGAGCAGGCGTGCTGCGGATTAATTGTGGAAGCTTGGCTATTGAATAGACAAGAGCAATCCCGTCCACAAGGCCTAGCTACGGTTCATAACGTCGTTTAAATCGCAAACGAGGTTAGGGGCTAGAACGAAGTTTTTTTCTATATTGAGAGAGTACGTGCTGTATTTCCTATCATCGTTTTAGATGATATTTTTAAAGTTTTATATTAGTATGAAAGTTAAGTAAATGTTGTTGAGTATGCATATGTGGCTAATGGAGCTAGCGTGCCATAATTTTGTACGGTTCATCTCAATATTTGTGTTCATAAAGATGGCTTCATGTATAATACTAATTGTAGGAATAAGCACGCACTCGAGAGTAATTTGTGTGGACATGAATAAGTAATTTGCGGGCCCATACAAATTTACTTTAGATGACAAGATAAATTAATGGTAGTAATAATTGATATCAGGCTGACGTTGTAGAAATGACCGCAACGAAGAGAAAGGGAGATGGTATGGTTGATGACATAAAATTTTAGTAATAGAAAATAAATGGAGTATGATGACAATAGTGATAGAAACGCCTGTAGCGATAGTAACGGTCAAAAGGATGACGATTGGATATGAGTGCTGATTGGCCGATCTTTGTCAGCGAGGAATATTCTGGTACCGACATTTCAAGATTCTTTTCCAATGTGTATTATCTATATGTCATGATAGAGTTAACGACCATATATATGGCGGCGGGAAGGTTAAAAGTACCATTATTACTTTAAGAGAGCTGAAAAACACATATATTCCCACGAAACAAACTATAATTTCCATATTCTAACACAAGGAAAGGAAATATTTTTTAATTAATTGGAAGCTGAGAGTCTATCCTCTCATATCTGCTAGTACCAATTTTCACACCCCTATCCATTAACACACTTCAATACATGACTACAGTAAGCTTTCTCCGGTGCACTGCAAACGTAAGCGAGAAATGGAGCTTTTACGCCTGACCCAGCTCTTAGCCTCTTAATTATTGTCCTCACATGGACACGTTTGGCAGATGATGTTCCCATCTCCCCAAATTTTCACCAGGCCTGTTTTCCTCCGTTCTCCTAGACCGATGATTAATGTCCTAAGCAAAATTCCAATTTGGCAGATATACGATGTTGTGATGCAAGATAGTATTAAAAAGCACGACCATTTTGTTGGCGTTCCTCCGCTACGCCGTGCGTGCGCCATCGTCGATGGCCCGACGAATGCACGCCGTGATGTGTGGGCGCGGCACCCACGCAGCCGGTACTCGCTCGCCTTGCGCGCGCGCGGCCGCCCAAAGTTCGAGGCCTTCGAGGATATACACTGGCAGGTGCGTTGGCGCTCGACAGTGTGACTATAGCTTTCTATCTCTGGCTGGCGACCTCACTTCTCCTTTGTCCATTTGCACTTAGCTGCAGCGTGCGATGCGAGAAGAGGCGTACGTCGGTTTCCTCTACATGGTCTCAGGCACCGGATGGATGATCGACATGGGGGCCACTTTCTTTCTTTTTTTTAAAAAATATATTTTTCAGATGCTATGTTCTTATCCTTCATGTTGTTGTATTTGGGATGTTAGCAGTTTCATTGGACACTGGCGACATGGACTAGGTGGGTGAAAAATTTGAAGCGAAACAAGCGTTAAACTATTTCTATAGTTAGTAGGTGTGCAACGAGAGAGGGATGGAGATATTTCGATATGGAAATGCAAAACTTGGGAAAGGACTATACTACTTTTGCGCTCTTGTTGAACAAAGGACTAAACAAATCTTGTTTTCCATTGCAAGTGTATCGAAAATCAAGTAGGTGTTCTTGAGTGAGCGTGCACAATGTAATTAACGGAATTAGTACTACTACCGAATTGATTTTTCTGAATGAGATCCCTTTAGGTTGCAGGCAGACCATAACTACTACCACATGCAAAAGCCACTTCCCCGAATCGGTTCAAGGGCTGCATGCGAAAATATATTCACTCTGCTACTTCTCCCCTCTTCTCCCACTTCCTCTTGATCCAGGCCGGCCACCTGCTCGGGCTGGTGGCGATGACGGCGGGCTCGGGCAACGACAGGAGTGGTAGTGCCAGCGTCGACGCAGGCTGCGATGAGCTCGGGTATGGCCGCGGACTCTGCCTCGGACCACACGGATCCCGCCGTATCTCCTCACTATCTTCCTCGGCTTCCTCTCTCCTTACGGCCAATGGGCACGGGATCCGCCGATGCTAGCGAAAGAGTGGGAGCCGCAGAGCACAAAACCCGAGCCAGATCCATTGGCTGCGGGGCTTGCTCGGGGCGGATGCAGTAGCAGCGGGAAGCAGTGGATCCGGCCGAGGTGGATCCAGCGGCGACAGGCTCAGGAGCCAAGGGTGTCGATGAGGGCTGTGATGACTGACGAGCTCGGCTGCGGATCCCGCCTTCTCTCCTATATCTCTCTCTCTCCCCTGGCCTTGGCATATCCTCTCCTGACGGCTGGTGGGCATGGGATCCGCTGGCGGCGGAGGCTTAGGGGCCGGCGAGGTGGAGTGCGACGACGACCGAGTGGTGGCAAATTTGGCTTGGGTTTTGATTTTGACAATTTTTTCGACCAAAATTATTTTCGCATGCAGTCGGTATAGGTGACCGCATGAAGAAATTCCGTCTTCACATACGGTTGCGCTGGTCGCATGCGAAAATATTGATTTTCACAGATACCTGGATGCAGGTGGCTACTTTGCCCATATGCAAAAATAGGTTTTGGCCGTCTACAGAAACAATTGTTTACTGGTGTAGTATGCCATTAATTTGCATTGTTAATTCATCCCAGTATTTGTGTTTATAAAGTTGGGCTTGTGGATTCACATATTCGAATGCACCACATTGCATGGACACGAATTAGTAATTTGTGGGCTCTAATAAATTTACTTGGATTACAAGATAATTAAGTGAAAAGGAGAAAGGGTATGTCGTTGTGACTTTAATTTTCTTTAAAGGATCTATGACTTTAAATTTAATTAGTAGTAAAACATGCACAGAGGATGGCGACAAGTGAAGCGTCCGTGCTATCATAACGGTCACAGGACAACGGTTAGATGGAAGTAATACATATATGGCTGTTCTTCGTCGGCTTCCAAGAAACATTCTAATAGCACTATCACTTGAAGATTCTTTCAATGTCTATATATATTATCCATGCGCTATGATGAGTCAATGACCGTATACATATATGGCGGCGAAAGGTTAAAATACAATTATATATAAATAGTGGAACTGAAAAACACAAATATTTCAACAGTAAACTATATTTTTATATATCTAATAAAATAAAAAATAAATAGCAAGTCTGAGTATATATCCATATCTGCTACCTACTTCCACACCCTTATCCATTAATAACACTCTTCTATACATGACTATGAAGTACTCCACCCCGTTGTTATTACCCCGGGGCATGACGACCATCGATGGATCAATATAACCCTTGTCTCCACCGACTGATCCGAGCCGATTCGATCGACATTGAAGAAAGTGTCGACATACCCCGCATCACTTCATCGCTGACTGCGCTTGCGACGACATCATCAAGATGACTAGATGATCAACGCTCGAGAGTTTAGCTACATTTGTTCATGTATATATCCATGCATCTATGGCTGCACATATATACAAGCATGCATATAGAACAGTCCAAGTCAGTCAAAGATCATATATATTTATATACGAACAAAAAGCAACCACTTCTCGTCACACAAGAGAGTTCAAACGTCTTCACGGAAGAGATAGAGATCAGAGAAAATGGATGCCTATTTGTTTTCTCAAAGTATTATTGTACAATGAGTAATGTGCGGTATCATTTTGTTTAGAGGAGTGTAGTACAATTTACCATTGGCGTAGATTTTTAACCGGGATGTTCATGCGTATATGATGCACATATACACTTTTTTGAATAAAAAGGCCACAAGAACGTATAATAACGTGTATAAGTGCAAAATTGAGGGGCTTTCAACTTTGTGCAGGAAGTGACAGTCGTAATTTCCGGCTAAAAATGCATATAGAAGGACACGTTTCACCTTTCACACCGGCTCAAATGTGGCAGTGAAACTTCAGTTTTCTCCACAAAAATAATAAATTAAGGAAAAAAATCGTCACTACACGTCACTCATCCCCATCTCCCAGGCTTGTCCGGCCTATAAATGCAGCCTCCCTCCCCTCTATTCTCTAATCACTCAAAACACTCATCAATGAAATCTGATCAGCGGTAGCTTTTTTTTTTTCTTTCTGAAGGAACAAAAGTGAGCAATAGCTAGCGGTACATCTCTCTCTGTGGCAATGGATCAAGCGAGGATCTCGTTCTTCCCGGATGGTCTCCGTGTGATGATCATCGACGACGACGCAAAGGCCGTCAGAAGGGCAACGGCGACGTTGTCCCAACTGCAGTACGCAGGTAGATTAATTTGGATGATTTTCTGTATGAGATTTTTTTTTAATCTTGTTTGTGTAATGTTTCTTCTTGCCGGGATTCTTGTTTGTTCAATCTGTGTATTTTTACGGGGATTTCTTGAGGATGAAACTCTTTTGCTGTTTTCTGTAGGATTATTTTCAAGATCGACGAAATTTTTGGTTCTCTCGGTGTCTACGATACTGTATCTCTTGCTTCTAAATGCTTTTATTCCCTGATTTGAGATGAACAAAACATGTACTAGTATATTGTCTGATTTTTATGTACGTGGGTCAAGTATAGTCTGGGAATAAATTAAGTGGCAGTCAGTAACTCATCTTTATCAATTCCTAAATAAAACTGACCATGTTGTTTGATGTTTTGCCATGGTGATTCTTTGTATATTTTTTGTTTGAACCACTGGTTTTAGCCCTCTTTTATACAAACCATGGATGTATGTTCTTGCTTGTTTCAACTAAATTCAAATTAGTCGGTTGCGCACTTTTGCTTCGCGCCATAATAGTTTTTTTTTTAATAAAAGCTTGCTGTTTATGTATGAAGAATTTTGTTGTAGTATTGCACCTGATACTTCACTATTGTTTGAGTTTGCTCAATTAGTACACACCTATTGAGATTTCTCCCCCTCACTTTTCATAAAAAAAGAGGAAAAAAAGAACAGTTTTTGGAAGAATGTCTCCCACTAGCTTTTGAGTTGTAGTCATAACATGCATGAAACTGCTTACACAGTCAATTATTTAAAGCTGTAAAATGTCTTTTCCCACATAAAACAAAACAAAACTCTTACTGCATTTACTCCTTGTCTTTTCCAGTGGTGGCGACGCACTCCACCGCAAGCGCTGGTCTGCGTGCCCTCTCCGGCGACAACGTGGTAGAAATCCAAGCCATCCTCTGCGATGTCCACAAGGTGGTCTCCTCCGGCTTCGACTTCCGCCGCGTCGTCGAGTCCGAGCTTCGCATCCCCGTCATCTACCGTAAGCACTTACCATTCTCTCCCTCGAATGATCGACTATAAACTATACATGAGGTTTTCTCTCATCCGTGAAGCAATATATATCTCTTGATATTTGAGATGTACTTTTTCATGAACGAATTTAAAAAAGTAATGCTAAAAGTTAGAATGGAGTTGAAAACTTATCTTTGTAAATAGTCTTGAATTTTTATTTCATTTTTAAGGTATAAGTGTATGAGTTAGTTGGGAGGTAGATACCTCCACCCTGAAGGAGGTATATACCTCATAACTAATACTATGTGGTATTTATCTATATACTTCCAAGACTCAGAAATGCCTAGACATTATCAATTATAAATTTATCTTCTAGTCAGTTTAATCAATTCAATTTTTTTATCACTAAAACACAATAGGGAAGTATGTACCTTTTAAAGGATGGAATTAAGAAAAACCTCGTATATACATATATACACATATGTAATCTTTCGTTTGATCGTTGATGCTTGCGTACGTGCACGTGTGTCATGCAGTTCTGTCGAAGATGGAGGAGGAGGACATGGTCGCCGGCGAGGACGCGGAGTTCCTGAACCACCTCCTGCTGACGGCGACCTACATCGTCAGGAAGCCGCTCAACCCCACCGTGATGGCCCGGCTGTGGAGGGTGGTGGCATGGCGCATGTACTGCCTGGAAGAAAGGATTCAGGCCAATGTCGCTGCCAATGCTGGCGCTGGTGGCGAAGACGACGACGACGACGACGACGTAGTTATCGTCGAGGAGCCCCAAGTGCACTTCAAGGTGGTGAGAAGAACGTCCGGTGGCAGCAGGAAGAGGCAGCTGACAATCAACGTCGTCGACGACGGCAACCGCGGCAGCGGCAGCGGCGGCGGCGGCGGCGGCGGCGCAGGTTCTTACCCCCAGAAACACCACTTACACTTGCATGCATGCAATATATACTGATCTGAAATTGATACAGTAGCTTCCTGCATACATGGTCCGTGTGACGTGTAGTGTAGGAGAAAAGAATCCGATGCAATTAATTCTTTTTGTTTTTTCTTTACTTTCAACTTTGAAACAGTATTTTATAGACGTGAAATTGCAAAAAAATATGAAAAAAAAGTAGTATAAACAGATTGTGCATTATCATTTTTAAATCATACTGTTAGGGAAAGTTTCTATCAAATAACTAACTAATACTCCCTTTGTTTTTTAATATATGACGCCGTTGATTTTTTCTTACATGTTTGACCATTCGTCTTACTCAAAAATTTTATGCAAATGTATAAGATATAAATCACATTTAAAGTAGTATGAGTGATAAAACAACTCATAACAAAATAAATTATAATTACGTAAATTTTTTGAATAAGACGAATGGTCAAACATGTGAGAAAAAATCAACGGCGTCATCTATTAAAAAACGGAGGTAGTATAGTTTTTCTCCGGCTTATTTTTGATTTATTTCCTTTGGTAACAACAGATGCCAACCCAACCAGGATACTGCAGCACATCACTAGCAACTTACAGGTGCCAACTCTCTTCCATAGTCGTTTAATTTGACTGCTAGCTTTGCTGTTTTCACTACCTTAATTTCAAAAGCATCAATTTTATTTTGTAGTTTACTGTTAATATTTGGATGTTTCCTCTTTATTTTTGTTTTCTTGCATACGTACTAGTATACAGTATGTTGCTAGCAATCTTGGATGCTTATCTGGCCCTCCGATGCGATGCTATCTTTAGGCTATAGCATGTAGCGCTGCATCTTCGATAGGATTCTTGTTGTAGAGTCCTTCAGGCTGCTTCTACATTCCAAAATGCATATAATCCTTTCATTTTAAATAGTTGTGACTTGAGTGTTAGTGCTATTTTAATTTTGATCCTTAATCACTTTCAAAGTATAATATTTTGATGAATGAAATTTATACGCGGCATATATAATTTGATTACATGGTACAATTTTTTTTTATAAATTACATGGTATAATCTTAACTAGATGTAGTTAAATCTAGTATAAAAAACTAGTTGCAAATCTGTCGTTAAAATAGTAGTCAAATTAAGTGTGGATATGAATAACATGTAGTGACAATTATTTTATACTAATGTAGTGACTATAAGTTATATTTTGGACTGGGAATGAATTGTTACCAAAAAAATTATGCTACTGAATATATCATGATAATTAATTAAGCCCTCTTATTGCAATAGCATAATTAATGTTTTAGACAAATTATATGGTTTTAGAGATGCTGAACATTTTTATCATAAAATTTGATACCTCACTAGCGAGTACCACAAAACCGCTCTTTAAAATACTACATCTGTTCCAAAATATAATAAATTTTAACAATAAAACTGCAAAGTTCTTTGTACCTCAAACTTATAGCCAAATGATATATTTTTGAATGGAGGTAGTATGTATTTTCTCTGTACAATCATAGATGCGTGCATACATATACTACTTATGTACATGACATGCCTGAATTTCTTGCTGCTGGTGCCGTAGGAATTCCGCACGAAGCACCAGAAGAAGGACATGGCCATCGAGCGTCCCCTCATCTCGTCGGACTCCATGTTCCTCAAAGCCATCCTCCCGACGCTCAAAATCTCACCATGCAACCCCCTGACCCTCACTGGCGGCATCGGTTCAAGCAGTGTCGCCGCGGAGGCCTTCGCTGGCGGCAGCTCTTCAGCTGCACCACTTCAAATTCCAGTTTTCCAGCAGCAATCCACCGGCAATGGCAACACGGTGATTAGCTTCAGCAACAATGCTTCACCGATGGCCATGCGTGCGCCAACCGACAATACTATGATATCGTTCAACAATGTCTCTGCTGCGCCGGTCGCCAATGCGGTGATCTCCTTCAGCAACATTTCTAGGTCTGCTGCCATGCAGGCACCAGCGGCAAGGGGGCAACATCTGTCCGGTGATGTCCAGCAGCTGGATTTTCCCCAGCAGAAGCTGTACTTTGGGCCCTTCTCCTACCAAGGGCCTCCGCCACCTTCCATGCACAACCACATCAACCTACTCCCGCCGACGTCCTCCCCTGTGACCTGCTCCATGGACAAAGGCAAGGTTCCTATTATCGAGCTCCCATATGGGATGCCTGTGGATGACTTCCTCGTCAGTCAAACCACATATGGCGGTGCCGGACCATCCATCGGAGCCACTGACGCTGCTGCCGCTGCGTACCCTTACACAGATGCACCGAGCAATAACGTTGCAACTGGCTGTCTCATGGTGCCACCAATGGGGCCAGCATTCAGTATCACTGAGCCAACTGTGGTGGCCCAAGGTGAGGGCACCGGCACCGGTGTCGACGCCGGCACATCAGAGAAGAACGCGATAGTAGAAGCACCAAACAACCCCGCGCCATTAATGGTACTGGATCAGGTTGCTGCTGATGCTGCAATGGATGTTCAAGAAGACATCATGTTCTCTTTGGAATCTCTTCTGGGGCCGGACTATGACCTGCTACCTATGGAAGACGTTAGTGCTCCGGACACCGCTGCAGCCGGTGATGCAGCTGGTGGCTCACTGGACGGAGAGGAAGGCGGCATGGACATTGGTTGGGATCTCGACCTGGATGACATCCTGGTGGAGAACGTTAATGACTTCGCGTTCCTGGACAACCTTGCCGGGAGCGAGTAGTCAGTAGTCATCTCATCGCAAATATATTATCTCAAGTTAATTAAGCTAGAGATTAGAGAGAGGGGATGTGTGCTCAGTATGATAAAACAACTTTTAGTCTTTGTTGCAAGTACTCTAAACATTGATGATTTTTCCTCCGTTATCATGCCAGGAATGTGAACTTTTAAAACTCCAAATTCCTATATTGCAGATATGATATTATGATGCAAGATACTGGAGTATTATTTTGAGACATAGTAAGTATTTTGTTGCATTCCTGCGCTCCGGCGTCGTCGCGGACTAGGTGCCTCGCGTGGCTGCATGCCATGCACGCCGCTGGCCGATCGAAGTGGTTGTTTCGGTCGCATCTTCCTCTCGTACCCCGCGCCTCCTCACCTCACACTCTGCCTATTTTCCAACAAATGAAGGCTCACACTAGTGCTCTGAGTGCAAGGATTTCTGGTCACAAATAAGTATTTTGCGATCTTGAATAAGTTCACAGGGGTAACAGAGTGAGAAATAAGATATACTCTTCATCTATGAATACAAGGGTTCCTAGTCTTTTCTATTCATCCACAAATAAAATGGATTTTAGAGTACTTTTCCGCTCCAACTAACTACTTTATTATTTATTGCTCACTGATAGTTGAATTGTTATGCGTGATTATTTCCAACCGAGTAAACTTAAATGGGATGAAAGTACGTCCAGGCTCCATAAGTTGGTTTTGGCTAATTAGGTATGAAGGACCAACGAAAGGGCATGTAGCATAGTGGTTACAGTGACCTGAGTAGTATCCCAAGGTTCTAGGTTCAAATCTCGAGAAAATTGTGATTTTGCTATCGCAAAAGGATAGATTCGCTGGAATACTATCCCTTCAAAGTGATTCATTAAAATGCTATCCTAAACTAAGGGGTGTTCACTGAAATGCTATTTTGGGTCTTTTTGGTTGCTAGAAATGATTTAGCTCTATTTTCATTTTTGTTCTGACCAAAATACCCTTGCCTCATATAGGTTTTTACCAGATGGAATCGATCGAATCGATCTCATCCCGTCGGCATCGGCGCTGACTGAGGAGGAGCGACATCGGCAGCGGCGACATCGTCGCGCCTCCGCATCGGGTCCGGCTCCGGCGCCGGTGCCGGCCCCCGCCACTCCCTGACCTGCTCCTCTCCTTCCTCCTGCCCCAGTCCACTCGCGTCGCCGCCTCAGTAATGACCTCGGCAGGTGTCGGCGAAGAGCGTGGTGACCTCGACGATGGCGGCCGCGGAGGTGTTGGCGTTGGCGGCGGCGCAGGTGGGGAGGAGCGCGCCGAGCCTCGCGGTGTTGACAGGGAAGACGAGGAGGAGCGGGTCGCGGAGCAAGTGGCAGAAGCACCCCTCCCCGCCGCTGCTGCTGGGGGAGACACCGCGGAGGAAGGCCGCGCAGCAGGCCTCCGTGGGCGCGGGCGCCGGCCGCGCCCGCGGAGCCACCACCGCGACGTGCGACAGGCACGGCGCCACCGACACGATGGCCGCTGCGCACGGCGTCGCCGGCGGCACCTCCGAGAACGCCCCCGCCGCCGACGCTGACGCCGCCGCCGCGACCACGACACCACCCAGAGCTGTGCCGACACCACCCCGGCGCCAGGAAGACGGGGACGTGCGCCACCACCATTGCCGCCATGTTCGTCCGCTCGCGCCGCTGGGTCGCCGCGGCTGTCGCCGAAACGTCGGGGTGCTCGCTAGGTCGACGCCGGCCTCCCCGCCACGCCTGCTGCGCCCTCCCCACGCCCGTCGGCGGCGGCTGGCCACTGCCGCTCCCGAGAGAGAGGGGAAAAGAGAGATGAGTATGACAGGTGGGGCCCGCATAAGGGGTATTTTGGTCAGAACAAAAATGAAAATAGAGCTAAATCATTTCTAGCAACCAAAAAGACCCAAAATAGCATTTCAATGAACACCCCTTAGTCTAGGATAGCATTTTAGTGAATCACTTTGAAGGGATAGTATTCCAGCGAATCCATCCTTTTGCGATAGCAAAATCACAATTTTCTCTCAAATCTCCTATGGAGCGAATTTCAGATTGGGTTGTTTGCGGGGCTAAGTTCCCTATTTTAATGGACGTATATATATCCGGTTGGATGTAGAGGCCGGGTAAAAATACCCTTCTCTAAAAAAAAAGGTATGAAGGACCAGGCTGTCTTGTTCGTGACCCTGGTTAAGTGTTTCATTGGTAGCGGTTATAAACAGCTAGTTGGGGGATGTTGGTGGTCATTAAATTCCATTTTGACCCCATGCTCCCCCCCCCCCCCAGCCCCAAAAAAAATACTTTTGGTAATAAAGTGGGTATAGTAGAAGATCAAAAGCATCAATTTCTTTTAGACTAATCCAGTTGCACAAGTTTTGGCGTCTCTTTTGATGGTCATTAAGTACCAATTTCGACCACCAACTAGCACAATGAATAAAGGGAAAACTAGCATTTCTTACACGTTTATCAATAATAAATAATGTAGTTGTATTAGGATTGGATAACTAATGTGGATGTAGGAATTATACACCAAAGTGAAGGAGAAATGAAGCCGGCATGCAAAGAAACATACCTCCGGCGAATCATGTGCAAGCACATGGATTGAAGGACCCACATGCTAAGCCAAACCGACCTAAAGTGGAATCAAACTATCGTGCATCGCCTTAGGAACTCACAAGTCCGCCGCTGGTGAAAGGCGGTGGAGAAAGGTGGTGCTAGGGGCTGAACTGCCATAGCCGCCTCTCATCTCCACCCTCCACGTGGTGATCCCTGGTTGGCTCCTGATGGCGGTTGTGGGAGTTACCGACTTCAATAACCATCATAAGCCACCTATAAATAGAGCTTACTCCCTCATTTGTAACACATACCTCAAGGAGCAATTCCCTATCCCACTTTGTATTCTCTATAGTTTCTAGTAGGAATAAAACTTAGGAGTTTTGGTCCTATAGTCTTCTCGGAGTTCTGGGTATGTCTCTAGTACTTTACTCTTCTTGTAAGACTATATTTGAATTAATAGAATTACCTTTTTTATTTATTTATGTTCATGGTTTATATATTTCTTTATTGAGTATATGTTCTATGAGTAGTATATACTTTGTATATCTGCTTCATCCTAGGCTAGTCGATCCATGCTATGGTAACAATCCAATAACCTTTATAGGTTGCTCTAGCTCCAACTTGTTCATCCTTAGGGTGAGTCCCGAGGGAGTTAGTGATATTATTTACTGGTATAAGCATGGTGCTTAGGCTAGATAAATGTCGTTAGATATGGTTGTGCACCACGGAAAGTGAGATAGGTGGCAAGTGTTAACAGCCTTGTTCGTCCCTTGTATTCCTCCACGTTCGGGTATGACGTAAGAGTGCGTAAATGCCATAACCACGCTGGCAGACCAGCAGGGAGTGGTCTCTCGGTAGTACCTGGGTGCCTGGAACTAAGTCCTATGTTGTAAACATGTGTACGTTAAGTGTATACTAGATATGATTAGTATAGAAGTACATATGAATTATAGGTTCCTAATGCTAATTTCCTATTAGATATTCTTTTAGAGGTGAATCTCCTGTGTGTCCACTACCTTATCAATTATTATCCTAACCCATGTTTAGACTATGGTGAATTAATTATAAGTTGATTAAGGAGACATAAAAGAAATCATATCTTTATACCATCACCTTCCTTGTGAAAATATAAATACAATACCCTTGGGAATACTCATGGGTAAAATGCTATAACGGTATCCGTGTGCTTGCAGATTTATCTGTGAATGTAAGAAATATTAGCAGTCTCCTCAGTATTTGTGAATGTAAGAAATACTAGCAGTCTCCTCAGTATTTTGCAAGTGTCAGTCAAAATAAGTTAGAAATGCACGAGTTCTCGAGGAACCACAACTGACTAGTCCAGAGTGCCTAGGCCGACCAAGCAATTGGTGTTACATTAGGACAGCTCGCCCCGAACTGTTGGGCTGGAGACCAGGAAGCTAGGAGGGCTAGGCCAGGCCGGCCACCCTAGCCTGACCGATGCAAGAAGCAAGGTCAGTAGGCTGGCCTCACCCACTCAGCCTGAAGGCCAATCGACATACTACCCTACTTACACTTTTGTCATCGCTTCGTGTATGAGAGTTAATCTGGGAGTGATATGGTTGGAGGGACAAACCCTTATAAGTTGGTTTCACTCTTGCTAAACTAGCAATGTGGTACTAAATATGTACATACAACTCTCATGGGCCACATAGGTCATATCCTAATTGGGCCAAGATGTCACAGTTTTATCTCACAAGGACGTTTTCATTCTCTCTGTGTTGGTCGTATTGTCCAGACCATGACAGGACTCTCCAACTAGTTCTAATTAAGATGCAAAGTTTTTATAATTTAGGAAATGTCTATTCATCCCCTAGGCAACATCAAAATCCTCAAGGTCCCTTTAGGGGCATCATAGTAATTTAACCTTAACATTAAACTTTGCTAAACAACCTAGAATCCCTTATATTTGTGGACTAAGGGAGTAATCGAAGTCAGACTGATAGGTTTAGGGCATTATGGTTGATTTCATAAATATTTAGTAATAGGAAACATGATGAAGGATATCGACCTTAATTAATGATTGGATGTTGGTTCGATTGTAACGAGTGTAATTAATGGTCAAAGATGATGGTTGGGATAGGAATAACACCAATGTATAGTCTTAGCCAGTATGCATGAGACACATTCTAACATCGAATGTCTTTCAAGATTCTTTATTTTGCCAGGTTATCTACCGGCCACGATTGGATCAATGGCCACACATATGGCGGCAAAGGTAAAAAAATAATACAATTGTTTCAGCAAACACAAATGATCTTACATATTAAAAATAAAATGTTCATTTTTTTACATGAAACCGAAGATGTTGTGTCCTTCACATATCATCTAGTAGACCGTCTACCCTACCCACACAACACATACACAATCCCTATACAGTTAAACAACTATAAATTAAATGACTACGAACTCAATCCTAGTGTCTACTGGTATTACATACACATGGATATAAACCCCAATACAAAATATGTTAGTTACCACTATTAGTTATCACTATACTTTAATAATAAATACTAATTTACAACAAAACATACTAACTATCTCTAATTAGCACTAGTCTTGAAATGATAATCACTAATTAACAATAAAACATGTTAATTATCACTGTTTAGTTACCAACGATCTATGTTAGACAAGATGGATGAACACAACAACCAATTTTACCGGATTCACTCCTCCAACATCTTTTGAGAATATTCCTATGGTGGCTGCCTCCATCCATGTCTCGTCCACTAGCCAAATAATGAAAACCACTACCTTTGAAAATCGATTTTCATAGGAAGGTCTTGGCCGAACAACCCTCGTTCATTTGTCATAGGCGGGTCCCTTTTAGCCTACCTATAAAAATAAAAGGGTATCTATTTTTTAAGTATTGATATCACTCCATGAATTAACATGCAAATTGATATTTGAAAAAAGAAAGGAAAAAGTACGAATTTCCCCCTGAACAATCGCAGTTGACCGAATTACCCCCCTGAACCCAAAAACCAGGCATTGATTACTTTAAACTCTTAATACCAGACGAATTACCCTCCCCCCCCCTCCTCAACACTGTTTTGAGTGGTTTTGACTTGAGTTTGCACACATGACGCTAATGTGACAATCCAGTAAAAGAACTCCATGGACCCACCAGTCACACCTCTCCCTCCCCGGTCATTCTCTCTCTCTGCCCCCGGTAGCACTCTCTCTCGTGCGACTCAGGCAGGCAGCTGCGGAAGCGGAGGCAAACCAGGCTGTCGGCGGCGGAGGCGGAGCTTGCTTGGGTGGCGAGCGGTGAGGCAGAGCTCGCCCGGGTGGCCGGTGGTGAAGGCGGAGGAAGACTGGGCGACTGGCGATGGAGTCGGAGGCCGACTAGGCGCCAACAAAGTTCTCTCTTTGTGCTGTTGGCGATTGAGGCGAGCGGCTGCGGGCGCGACTAGGTGGATGCGGCTGACGGCAAGCGCGAGCGGGAGGGGGACCCGATCGACGCCGAGCGACGAGGAGGGGGCGCGGCTGGGAGTGCACTCTAGGCAGCGACGGGAGCGGTGGGGAGGAAACTTTGGTCGGCGGCGAGCAGCCTGCCTCACCGGAGCTATGTCGTGAGCCATATCCCACCTCGCCGAAGCCAGAAGAGGGGCGGCAAGAGGTGGAGACATGCGCTGTTGGGTTCCACCTCCTCTTTCTCCTCTTCCCCTCTTCCCCCCCCCCTCTCTCTCTGGCATCGTCTATGGCGTGTGGGGGTGGGCAGCGTCGCGGGACGCGGAGGCAAGAGCGGTGAACTCCGGGAGGGAGCCAGAGTGGTGGGTGGCGCTGTGTTGCCGCCCAGTCGGCCTCTAGCTGCGTCACCGGCCACCCGGTCTACCTCCGTCTCCCCGGCCGCTTGCCTGAGCGCGTGCACGGGAGAGAGAGTGCGACCGTGGAGAGAGAGAGAGACTGGGGAGGGAGAGGTATGACAGGTGGGCCCAGGGAGTTTTTTCGACTGGATTACCACGTTGGCACCTCGTGTGCAAGCTCAAGACAAAACCACTCAAAACAATATCGATGGTGTAATTCGTCCGGTATTAAAAGTTTAGGGTGAGCAATGTCTAGTTTCGGGTTCAAGGGTTGATTCGTACTTTTTCTAAAAAATATATAACTTGTAGAAGTTGGATACGAACTTACAAGTTTGTTGAGCGATATATCTATATTAATCTTCTTGTTATTTTTTAAAATTATTTTTATGATTATTTAGATGAAAACATCTTTATGAGAAAATGGATGTCTATTTTATTTGTTTCCCTCGAAGTATAGTACAATGAGTTTGAGATATTTTTTTAAGGAGAGTGTAGTACAATTTACCGTTGGCATACGGTGCCATTTATCTGGGCTGTTCATGTGAATATCATTCACATAAACACTTTAGAGAAGGCCGCACAAGAACCTTTAACGTATAAGTGCAGAATTGAGGAAGGGGCTTTCAACTTTGAGCAGGAAGTGATACTGATAATTTCCGGCTAAAATGTACAGTAGGACTCGCTTTACCTCTCCCACGGTAGATCTGATACTCATTTTTATTCACAAAATAATAATAAAAATATTTGTTACTAATGTCACTCATTGTGGCAATATTACGGGTGTAAGTGGCTAACGCGCACGGGTTAGCCACTTACACCATTAGGCAGTAAAACCCATCCCCCTGGCTTAGCCGGCCTACAAACAGAGGGTTCACTCACCTCAAATCTAATCACTCTCGTCAGTGAAAACTGAGCAGTAAACCGTTTGTGTTGTCTAAAACTCTGAGCTTGTGTTAGGTGTGAGTGTGATGTTGCATATTTACTAGTGTGTACGCGTGTTCACCATGTTATACAAAAAAGAAAGAAAATCTCTTTAGTAATTAATGGAGGATGAGATGATCTTGTTCTTCCCCGATGGCCTTCATGTGATGATTATCGACGACGACGCAAAGGCCGTCAGAAGGGCAACGGCGATGTTGTCCGAACTCCACTACGCTGGTAGATTAATTTTGGATGATATTTGGTGGCCTCCATGCACTATAGATCGGTAGATTGTGTCTACAACGTGTAGAGATGCGTTCAGGTACTTGTGTCCTGGATAAAATATTTTTGTTTGTGTGATCTGTCGGTTTTCATGGGCATTTCTTGAGAATGAAAAATGTACTGTTCTTATATGTGTGCTTTCTATATGATTTGTTTACAAGAAAGAACTTTTTGGTTGTCTTGACTTCTTTGATATATATTATATTTCTTCTAAATGTTTTGATCCCTAATTTGAGATGTAAAATTTGTGTAGGACATTTTCTGATTTTCAGCAAGGTGTTTTGCTCCCCTTTTATATGTGGGTTGGCTATAGTCTAGGAGTAAAGTGGCAATCAGTAACACATTACACACACACACACACATATATATATATATATATATATATATATATATATATATATATATATATATATATATATATATATATGAAAATGCTTCTGTACTCCCAGCTGTACTCCCAGGAGTACGTACTCCCTCTCCCATCCACCGTTCATCGCCCCACCAGGACAATCGTCCCCCCACTCCCGCTACCGGGTCTAACTATGGGAGTATCGGACCCGTTTTAAACAAAAAAAAAAAACAATCCCATGAAATCCGTAGGGACCCTATTATCTTTGAGTAATCAAATTCCCCCGGTCATTTCGTGATAGATTAACGGCCAGAGATCCCAGCTCGTGCGGCGCGGTGCCCGTCGTCCACCAGACACGCACCCGACGGCCGGTGAGATACTCCGAGGTTGCATCATCCTTCCTTCCTTCGATCGCTCTTGAATCGGCAACACTCGGCTGCGGCATCCTATACGAGTGGCATCGCGGCCTACGACGGCGACCATAGTTGAGGCCCGACTGGGCTAACATGGTGGCACCGTGCGCGCGAGTTCATTGACATATATCCTAGCAGGTTAATCGATTCTTGTTCCGCATCTGTCTTCTGCATGAATATCTTGATCTCATTGCCAGGTATTATAGTGCTAATTATCAGGTCACCAAGGGAGGGTGCGATCTACGTACTCTACCGGCGATTGGGAGAGGCTAGGTGCCCTAGGTGGCCGGGCACGATCCAGCAACGACTCGGAGGCGGCAGCGCGATTTATCGGCAACCCGATCGATGGTGCGATCCATCGGCGTACATGGCACCACCATCAGAGAAACAAGGCGGCGACAGAAGTGCCCAAGGTAACGCCGGCGACGAAAACCGGCGCCTGATCCTCTCGACAGTTCAGCCGGCCGTTCAGGTGACCCGATCCACAAGAAACGATTTGGGGTTTCTTTTTTCTCGAGCTGAGGTCTGCACTCGATCTATGCGATTTCATCTGTCATAGTTCATCCTCTATTGTCTACTTATCATGAGTTCCTGGGTGCTATGTTAACGAATTTCATTTGTCATCATTGTTCATCCTCCTCTAATAGTCCAGGTATCGTGAGTTCCTGACTGCTATGTAACAAGAAGATTACAGTATATATATTACTTGAAAGAAATTAGCCATTGATTGACTGATCTACACTGGCCTGGGTATATTCATTTCTATGGTCTCAGTTTTTCATGTCCAATATTTTCTTTTCTGGCATTATGATAAGTACATAACCACATACTACTCGATGAAAGTAAAGCATCATATATATCAGTATATACACCTCCTGGATGTATATACTGCTTCTCTGGAATGAGTATGTAATAATTCTTTTTTAAATCTATGGCTATATACTGCTTATCATCTCGCGGAGTTGCATCGAGTAGTATATACTTCTTCCTGGAGGAAATCAGTATATATATACTCATTCTGGCAGGGAAGACATCAGTATATACTGATTCTAAGAAGAAATCAGTATATACCGATTCATACTGATTCTAAGAAGAAATCAGTATATACCGATTCTAAGAAGAAATCTGCAGTATATACCGATCCTAAGAAGAAATCAGTATATCCTAACACTTCAACAGGTTTCGAATGGATAGAGGTATATACTACTTCAAAGAGCAATACAGTATGTGTGCTTCGCTGCCTGCGCATTGTAAATTTTCGATATTATGCTCGTCCAAGCAGAGAGCAGTATATATTGGATTCGTAAACCAAAGAAAAAAAAAAGAAAGTATAAACTCCAACCTAGGATCTAGTACGTAGTACCAGATTTTTTTTTAAAAAAAAACAACAATACATACCATTACTATTTCAAAAGAAGTATGTACGTACTTAATTACACACAAAAACTAGTAATAAACTACAACTATACGCAAAGAAAAATGTATGTACCATTGCTATAAAAAAACTAGTAATAAACTACAACTATACACAAAGAAAAATGTATGTACCACTGCTATAAAAAAAAATATATACACTGCTACCACACAGAACTAGTATATAAACTGCTGCTGAACCCTAAAAAAAGAGTATATATATACTGCTACCTATATATACTGTTGCTTACTAAAAACAGTACATACTTCCACGTAGAAATGACAGTATATACTTATCTATGAAAAAGTAGCATATGCATCACACTAAGGCTAAAATATATTGCACGTACGTTGGTTGGATTGTCGCTCACAATTCAAATTTACTTACAAGTTATCAGTATATACTTACTCAAAAAAGATATCAGTATATACTTCCTCCAAGGAAAGATCAGTACATACTCATTCCAAGAGGAGATCAGTATATACTTCTACTTACTCAAAAAATATATCAGTATGTACTTCCTCCAAGGAAAGAGCAGTACATACTCATTCCAATAGATCGGTATACTGACATTAATAAATAAGGTTATATACTGGTATTAAATAATAAAAAGTATGCACTCCTACTAAATAAAAAGTAGTATATATATACCGTACTACTTCCAAACAAAGTTGTTTATGTACTGTTACAACTATATAAAAGGTACTCCAGTATATATACGGCAACTACTACTACGTAAACTAGTATATATACAGCTACGCATTGCTTTTTTTTTTACGGGGAAAAAGTTCTGATACTGTTCATTCTGAATTCTCAGTATATACTGTTAATTTGTGAATCTAATCAGTGACATATACTACTTTTTAAACAGTACGTACACCGAGGAAAAAAAAGTATATACTCAACCATATCAAAATTTGAACCTGATGTATGTGGTTATGTACCGGGCTGACTGCATGCATGCAGAATTCAAAAAACAAAAACAGAAGCGAATGGTAATTTATATTTCTCTTTTAATCTAATTATTTATTATCAACTAATGGATATCCACTAAGAAGAGGGAGTATATACACCTGGAAGTACATCCTATATATATATATATATATATATATATATATATATATATATATATGTGTGTGTGTGTGTGTGTGTGTGTGTGTGTGTGTTCTTTTTTAATCACATTGAAGATAATGTGTTTGTCGCGTATCCTACCTGCCCACCCCACCGCACACACAACTTCTATGCATGGGAACGACTATAAATAACTATGAACTCAATTATACTATCTACTAATATTACATACACGAGAGGGTGATTTCAATAAGTGTTCAGTGAGGCCAAGATATATTTTCCGCTAGCTTTCATCTCATTAAACATTGCGCATTAGGAAGTACGCACTTGCTATTACATGTGTAGTACCATAGTCATGTGCATCTTTTATGTAATAAAAAAATATCTATGAACTTCACACCATCCCGTGGAACATACAATATATAATTTCTTTATTACTGTGAGCTCAGTTAATTTTGAAAGCTCACCGTATTAAAATATCTTTTTTTTCACGAATGCGTAAAAAAATTACACACCGTATTAAAATATCAGTTACCTACAGTCCGTAAAAATAGTTTTTCAAAAGCTCGGTTAGTTTTCTTGTTGATATTGAATGTTCTCAACCGGGAAGCAGTCGTGCACAATAAGGACCACTAGGGATTAGGGAAGAAGTTCACTTTGAGCTCGATCGTATCATGGCTGGAACTAAGAGCAAGTATAATAGTGAGCTATAAGCCTACTATAAGCTTAGGTGGAGAAGAGAGGTAGTGAAAAATTAAGGATGTTGGCTCTCATGCAAGAGCTAGCTTATCACAAGCTCCAAGACAAATGTATTAAATGTATAAGTGAGAGATAGAGAGATGAGAAGAAAATTGTAGCCAACCTTATAGCTAATCTATTATATATGTTGACTTTAAGATGGGCTAATAGTAGGAAGTGGGCTCTATTATTATCCTTACTCTAAGGAAAAGAATTAAGGCATCGTGTGATTCGCGGATGCACCTGAGTAAAAGCTGTTGGCTTTTGTGTTAACTCAGCCCATAAGAGCAAGTTTAATAGTATAGGCAACTGCCAGCTTCAAATCATCTATAACCAATTTAATAGCTAATTCATACAATAGTTAGCTATAAACATATACTACATAATTAATATTTGGTCACACCTATCATACACACATGTATCTTGGAATTCGTGCTGCAGCTGGCAACAAATCTATAGCTCGCTGCTCCTCCCTCTCCTCTTTTATCTCATCGAAATGTATCTATAGCTGATTTATAGCCTGCTATTGTACCTGCTCTAAGGTCAGCCCAATAACTAGGATGGTGTCTATAGCATTATAAGCTGCCACCTAGAATGAAAGATGATGTGCTAAGTGAATAAATGAGGAAAAAGAAGGAAAACAAGTCTTGTATGAGATTTGGTTTCTACATAATATCCAAAACATCATGTGATATAAATAGCATTAAATTTAAGAATGAAAACAATGCTATTTGCATTGAAATAGTATTCTCTAGTACTAGTTTCATGATGTGGAGTTTATGTAAACTATATATAGTGTCTTGGGTTGGAACTGGCCTAAAGACACAACTATATCAAACCAATGTGAAAAAAGATAATATAATATTTTCCCTTGCTATAGTCAATCCTTGAACTCAAAATCTCTTTAGCAAATCATTTTTATCTTCAATGCACTAACCAACTTAACTTCCTATCATTACTAGTATGTTTATATCTTTGTTACTTATATTTAATCATTTAGTATACATTATCATTTTAAAAAATGTCTCTACAGAGTTTAAAATTAAATACCTTTACATATTAGGCATATTTTAAAGTGCCAAAATAATACCTTTACAAGATAAAATTTAACAAAATATACTGAAAATGTCTCTAAAGTGTCTAGAGTAAAAATTTTCTACGAAATTTTTAAAGTGTCTCTAAAAAGTATATCTACACTATAAAATTTATGATTTTAGGGCAATTTAATTATAAAATGTCTCTACATGATGCTTTTGCTGTAGTGTGCATGACTGAATCGACATCCGTACATATGATGGTTGGGAGGTTAAAAATACTATGATGTATTAATTATGGAGTAAAAAAATTCAGAAAAACTATTTTTTATATTCTAACATAAGGAAATGGAATGTTCTTTTAATACTAACCGGAGTATATCCTTCCATATCTGCTACCTACTTCCACAGCCCTATCCGTTAATTAACACGCTCTATACACGGCTAACTATGATCGATGGCCGCGCTTGCGCGACGACATCATCAAGAGTTCAAGACCGTAGAGACGCTCGAGTGTCCCTATATTTGTACATGTATATCCATGCATATATGGGCTGCACACAAGCGAGCATGCATAGAACAGTCCAAGTCAGTCAAAGATATGAGGACTTTCCAAGCATGCATGCATATAGATCAGTCTCTCAGAGGCAACACAAGAAAAGTTCAAGAGATCGAGGGCAAACGTCTCTATGGAAGTATAGTACAATGAGTGTGCAGTACCATTTTGTTAAGGTACAGCGTAGTACAATTTACCATTGGCACAGGGAATGATTTTAACCTTATATTAACACTTCAGAAAAGGAGCAAGCATGCATAATTAACTATAAGTGCACGCAGAACTGATCAGAAAGGTTTCTTTTTTCCAACTTTGAGCAGGAAATTAAGGGCTAAAATGCACAGCTCTAATGACATATTCCCTTACTCACACACCGAAACAACAGGTTAATTTCACCCAACTTTTAATCGTCAAAGGGCAACGTCAGTTTCTTCCCCAAAAATAATGAAGGAAAAAACAAATGATGACACTACACGTCATTCCTTGTGCCTATCTCTCCAACCCGCCCCCCCCCCCCCCCAAGGCCCCATCTTTGCCGGCCTACAAATGCAGACGTTCTTCCCTTCAGTTTCACTTCAATTCATCTGTGAACAAGCTAAGTGAGTGCACGTAGTTGTTGTACATCGATCTCTTTGTCCATGGAGGATCAGCTCTCCTTCTTCCCTGGTGGCCTCCGTGTCATGCCCGTGGATGGTGACACGAAGAACACGAGAACTGCAACCAAAACGCTTTCTACCTTGCACTACTCATGTACATTTGATTTTCTAGCTTGTTTGGATGATTTCTGTTGGTCTCTGTGCACTACAGATCCGATATTTCGCTTGTGTGATTCTTTTTTCTTATCGGATTCTTGTGTTGTGTAATCCGTGGATTCTTGTGGGGATTCTTGAGAAAATATTGGTGTTTGTTATATGTGTTTTCTATAGGATTTGTTTACAAGATGAACTTTTTTGTTCACTCGGCATCTCTTTGATATATCTTGCTTCTAGCAAATGTTTTGATCCTGGGTGGGTATAAAGAGGCAGTGAGTAAACTCATCATTGGTCACTTCCATAAAATTGACCAACCTGTTTGATGTTCTTGCTGTGTTGATTCTGCATATGGTTTTGTTCAAAATAACTACTTGAAACACTGATCTTATAGCCTTTCTCCATGGATGCATGTTCTTCCTTGTTTCAACTGAAATTCAAATTAGTCGGTTGCGCGCTCTTGCTTTGTGCCAAATTAAATATTCTTTTAAGAAAACATGTTATTTCTATGAAGGATTTTTTATACTGTAGTGCAATTGCACTTATACTTCACTCATTTCTCATTTTACTCAGTTATATATAGACACTCCTATTGTCTATTGAGATCTCTCCCTCTCCCCTTCTTAAAAAAAATTCCTCTTTTGGGATGCATGTCTCCCTAACTTTTGTGTTACAAACTTATAGTCATAAAATTTTCTAAAAATATTTAACAGTGTGTATAATATATGGTTATATATAATAATATATGATTTTACTTAAAGTCATTTATATCATATATAATAAGTAGTAACATAGTAATTTAAAACTGTAAAACTGACTTCTCCCACATAAGACAAAACAAAACAAAACTCTTAACTGCATTTACTCCTTGTCTTTTCTAGTGGTGGCAACGCACACCACCGCAAGCGCTGGCCTGTGCACCCTCTCCAGCGACAACATGACAGACGTCCAAACTGTCCTCTGCGATGTCAAAAAGGTGGTCTCCTCCGGCTTCGACTTTCGCCGTGTCGTCGAGACCGAACACCACATCCCCGTCATCTACCGTAAGCTAGCTAGCTAAGCTTGTGCTCAGATGTTACTCCTCGTCGTCGTCGCGTCTATCAATCAATCCACATCATCCACATATACGTGTCATACAGTATTGTCGACGACGGAACCAGAGCAGATGGTTGCCGGTGAGGACACGGAGTTCCTGAACCACCTCTTGCTGAAGGCGACCTATATCGTCAGGAAGCCACTCGACCAGGCCACAATGGCCCAATTGTGGAGAGTGGTTGCATGGCGTAGGTGCTGCCTAGAAGAAAGGATTCCTCGTGACTCCATGGACGACATAGCTGCCCATGCCGGTGTTGTTGGCAAAGACGGCAATGACAACGATGTCATCATCATTGAGGAGCCGCAAGTGCACTTCAAGGTGGTGAGGTCCCGTGGCAGCCGGAAGAGGCAGCTGACCATCAATGTTGACAGTGGCAGCAGCGACGGTGCAGGTTCTTCTGAACACCAAAAACATTGCGTTATATTGACACCACGCGCACCCGAAGCAAAACTCGGTGCAATATGTTGATATTATTACTTGCATGCATGCCATATAAAACCCTATCTTATTTTGCCTAGTATGAAAACAGTCGTTACCAAAATTTAATTTTAAATTTTTTTAGCGAAATTTATTTTTAGTATTGGCTTTTAAATATGCTGTATGGCTTATTATCAGCATATGGTCCACCGATATGGACCATAGCAGTAGGAGCTAGCGAAGGATGCAATATTTTTTTTAATTACTTTCAACTTTCAATCACTACTTTACTACGTGAAATACTTGCATAAAAATATGAGAATAAAATAGTAAATAGATTATGCACTATCATTGTACAGAGTTTCAAATCATTGTGGCATGCTAAACTTTGTTTCAGATTCCTACTAGTTCTTCTCCTACTTTTTTTTGATTATTTCCTTTGGTATCAACAGATGCCAACCCAAGACAGAAGCTAGAGCACAAGAAAGACGCGAAAGGGCCGCTGGGGCAGCATGTTGCTAGCCACTTGCAGGTCGTTTGACTGTGCTAGCTGTTTTCACTACATTAATTTGATTTGAAAAGCAATAATTTTAATTTGTAGTAACTGCACTTATTTCATATTTGGATGTTTTCGCTTTATTGTTCTTCCATGCATACATAATGGAGTAATATTTCTACCAACCTTGGATGCTTATCTGTCTGTGACACGATGCTATCTTTAAGCTATAACATGCATGGAATTCAATACTCGTGCAGTGTCATGCTACATTCCAAAATACAAATACTCCCTTGGCTTTGAATAGTTCTGAGTGTTGGTTAGTCCTATTTTAATTTAGATCACTAACAACGTTTAAAGTATCGTATTTTGATGAACCAAACATATATTTTGATAACACATGGTATAATTGTAGCTAGTAATAAATCTGTTGGTAAAACACTAGTGAAATTAAGTTTAGAATGAATAGTATCGAGTGACAAAACTTTTAAAGAAGCTATACGTTCTTTTTTTTTTTTGGATTGGGAATGCTGTATTTCCAAAAGTTTATGCTCTTTATTAATTATTATGATACACCCATATTTCTTCCCTCACATAGTAACTAGATAAAAACATAAAAAAATTGGGAAAAATTTAATTTTACGATCCTTTGGGAGATACATAATTCTCTAATGTAAGTTACGTATGTGCTGATATGTATCAAATAGAAAGTATATAAGTACCTCTCGATAGATTGTAAAGTTACTCAGAATTTGACATGTTTATTTTTCTCTGAATAATTTTATTACATACGTGAATATGTATATATTTGAGCCAAAATTAACGTGCCTTAATTTCCTGCTGCCACAGCCGCAGGAATACTGCACGAAGCAACAGAAGGACCTTGATGAGCGCCGTCTCCTCTCATTGGACTCCTTGTTCCTCAAAGCCATCCTTTCGACGCTCAATGTCTCGCTGTGCAACCCTCTGATCCTCACCGGTGGCGCCGGGCCAAGCTAGCTGCATCCCCACGACCACCATCGCTGGCGGCAGTACTGCAGCACCATTTCCAGTTTCGGTTTTCCAGCAGCAACAGCAACAACCTGCTGGCACTGCGGTGATCTCCTTCAGCAACACGACCGTGCAGGCACCCACCGGCAATGCGGTTATCTCCTTCAGCAACGCTGCTTCGCCGGCGGCCACCGGCAACGCGGTTATATCCTTCGACAACGTTGCTGCGTCGGCAGCCATGCAGGCTCCAGTGATGGGACAGTGGCTGTCCGGTGGTGTCCAGCCGGATGCTCCCCAGCAGAGGTTGTACATGGGGCCCTTCTCCTACCAAGGCCCTCCACCACCACCTAGCTACTATGCGTAACCACATCAACATAGTCCCGGCGGCCTTCACGCCTCAGGACGGGATGACAATGAATAAAGACAAGGCTCCTATGATCGAGCTTCCATTTGGGCTACCCGTGGATGACTTCCTCGTTGGACAAACCGCATATGGCAGTGCCGGACCATCCATAGGAGCCCCTGACGACAACGACGATGACGCCGCCATGTACGCCTACACAAGCGCACTGAACAACAATGCAGCTGTTGGTTCTCTCATGGTGCCACCAATTGAGTCAACATTCACCATCATCGATCCAATCGTTGGGACCAAGGGTGAGGGATCTGTCCCTGTTGTCGTTGTGTCAGAGGATCAGAATAATGCGGTGGCAGCAATTGAAGCAACAGCACCTAACAACGCAGAACTATTCATGATGCCTGAACAGGTTGCTGTTGATGCTCCGGTTGATGTTGAAGAAGGCATCATGTTCTCTCTGGAATCGCTCTTGGGGTTGGACGAGGACATGATACCTATGGAAGACGCTGGCGGTGAGGCAACTGACGACTCACTGAACATAAAGGAAGGTGGCATGGAGATCGGCTGGGACCTGGACCTGGACTACATCCTTATGAACAACACCAATGAATTTGCCTTCCTGGATGACATGGCCTGGATCGAGTAGTCCGTGGTCATCATATGGCAAATAAATTAGCTCTAGTTAAGCTAATTAGAGAGAGGGGATGTGAACTCCCCATGACAAACCAGCTTTTAATCTTGTTGCAAGTACTCTTTACATGGATGATTCTCCCTTCATTCTCGTGGAAGAAATGTTTACCTTAATACAGTATTTCCTTTGCCAATTAAATTTCTATGTTGCAGACATGATTCCTTTACCAAATGTTACTGGAATACTATAAACTATTTTATGTCATTCATCCGCTCCGCCGCCATGGCCTGCTAAGTGCCTCACGTGGCGGCACGCCCCACGATGTTCGAGGATGGTTGTTCACTTGTTTGGTGGCTTGCACACCCGAGAACCTATAAACTCTCTCTCTCTCTCTCTCTCTCTCTCTCTCTCTCTCTCTCTCTCTCGCTTCCTGATATTTGTTGACAACTTTTTTTGTCATGCCAATGCCACCGAATGTGATTTGCGGTATACCTAAAGCTTTGCGTTGATATGGAGTTGTCAACCACCTTGACCTTGAGAAAAACTCTGGTCAAGATGGTTTTAGTGTTGCCAATTTAGATACATAGGAATAAACATATGTCTCATGACAAAAACGTTAGGTTTTGGGATAAACCTACAAAGAGAACTCACACTCTCACAGCGAGGACGGATGGCTTATAGTGCAAACCGATGAAGATGGACGAAACTAGGCAAAATGTAGATGCGATATTGAAAAAATGATTCAATTGGATAATTGCGTTGAAACTAGATTGGTGCCTTAATTGAATCAGCCATGGTCCTTACAAAGGGGTTGGTCTTGCCTCCTATAGGATCCCCTCCATGTCCTACTCAGGGTAAAACAGATTAGAACTCGAAAACCTCAGCCCAAGCAAGGAAACCCGAGATTCGATAAAATTGGACTTGGAGTCGGACTCAGCCAGTCTGACCAGCCACATGCCAACGGTTAGACAAGCCCACACCACCGGTCTGATCGGCTCTATGGCAGTGGTCAGACTGGCCCTATGAAGGAATTCGAGTTCTTTCCAAATTCGACCATATTTTCCTATTTTCGCTTTAGGTCCTAAATTTAGGTGTTAGCACATGTCCCCTCCCCCTACCTTTTTGGCTATCTTGAGAGCCTAAAAGCTTGAAACATGGGTCTAAGGGTGATAATTCAATTATTGGCCATATCACCTCCTAAGCATCTCCCCAAATACTTGTAAGTATTTTTTTTCAAATATTTCCCATTAATTATTGTCTGAAATCGTTCCCCTTGCAAAGTTTCAAGAAAGTATGTATTCCCTCAAACGATTCCATATAACCGGTAAGGATCCCCCCAACAAGGTGACCACCTACCGAATTCTCTAGATACCGAGTCTAAAGGTAAAATCGTCTTCCAAAATAAGTCTCCAACTTCAAATGATTTTGCTTTCACTCTCTTATTATTGGCTTTGGCTATCTTCTGCTTATTCTTCTCTATCTTCCAAAGCCTTTAATCATTTATCGGTCACATCATCAAGATTTTATCCCATTAATATATTATACTCTTTGACCAATAAATCATCATGCTTGATGTATCTAAGAGAGCCAAGATTCACCTCAACCAGTAAAAACGGCTTCGTATCCATAGACTAACTCAAAAGTAGTAACCTTGATCGCATCATGTTTAGATATTCTATGACATCATATTGCTTCGGAGAGCACCTCATGCCATATTTTTTTGATGTTCCTTAATATTTTTTTCTTAACTAATTTTATTAAAACCTTATTACTAGACTCGGCATGTCCATTAGCATGAGCGTAGTAAGGAGAACTCAACAATTTCATACCATAAGATTCGACAAAGCCTTTCACCTCTTTAGACATGAAAGAAGAGCATGATCCATAGTTAAAGTTTGATGAATACTAACTCTATGAATAATGTGCTTCAAGATAAAATATATACAGATAGTCTTCTACAACTTCGACCTTAAAACATAGGATTTTCTGAAATTTACTCAATTTATATTCATAGTTTATGGGTTCACATATTGCTCTCACACTTAATACTTCGAATGCACCTAATTTTTTTTGTCATAAATAAGTAATTGCAGGCTTGAGTAAGTTTACATAGGTATAATAAGGTGAGAAACAATCCATCCACAGATATTAGGGATTTTAGGATGCTCCATTTATCCACAAATAAAATGAATGTTGGAATACTATTTTCCAAATCCATTCAATGCAATGAATGTTAGTCTTCTTTGTTAATTCTGGTTAATTTGGTAATTTTCATTTCAGTTAACTGATGGTGACAACCAAATTAATTTCGGTTAGTGAAAAAGGCTGACCAGATTTCTAACGAAAAAAAATTGGTTTCAGTCTTGGTTAATTTTGTTCGGTTTTTCAAACTCGGTCACGTTTCCTTCTTCAGATCATGGTATATATATATATATATATATATATATATATATATATATATATATATGTAGACATTTTTTCACCGTATCGGTTTACTATGAGTGGGAACATGGGGTGTTTCAGTTGATTGATGTTGCTTGTCAAGACATCAGCACATCCTAATACTCCGAATGCACATATTTTTTTTGTCATAAATAAGTAATTGCAGGCTTGAATAAGTTTACATAGGTATAATAAGGTGAGAAACAATCCATCCACAGATATTAGGGATTTTAGGATGCTCCATTTATCCACAAATAAAATGAATGTTGGAATACTATTTTCCAAATCCATTCAATGCAATGAATGTTAGGCTTCTTTCTTAATTCTGGTTAATTTGGTAATTTTCATTTCAGTTAACCGATGGTGACAACCAAATTAATTTCGGTTAGTGAAAAAGGCTGACCAGATTTCTAACGAAAAAAAATTGGTTTCAGTCTTGGTTAATTTTGTTCGGTTTTTCAGACTCGGTCACGTTTCCTTCTTCAGATCATGGTATATATATATATATATATATATATATATATGTAGACATTTTTTCTCCGTATCGGTTTACTATGAGTGGGAACATGGGATGTTTCAGTTGATTGATATTGCTTGTCAAGACATCAGCACATTCCTCAGGCTAGTTTTAAATTCCTAGCCATTTTCTATTACATCAAAGAAGCACATGCATACATACCACTACGCACGTATACTACACGCACACAAGAGTGAGTGCAACTCCTAAGTCCTAATCCAAGCTTAACGAGATGGAGGCCAGTGGAAAATATATTCTTACCTCACAGAACTCATATTGAAAGCACACTCACATGTACACAATATTCGCAGGCATTAGGATTTAGTTCATAGTCATTTATAGCCATTTCCATGTATAGGGGTACAGTTCTATCTGCGCATGCGGTGAGGGGTAGGGTGTGTGTGCGGGGGTAGTAGGGTGGGCGAGCGGGCTAGTATATTGGAGGATATGTGAAAGACCCATTATCTTGGTTTTATGTAAAAAAGAACATTTTCTTTCTAAAATGTAAAGATCATTTGTATCCGATGAAACAATCGTATATTTGTTTTTACCTCCACCACTATATATATGGCCATTGATCCTATTATGACAAGTGGATAATGCAGTCAAAGAAAGAATCTCGAAAGACATATGTTGTTAGAATGTGTCCCTTGTATACCGATAAAGATTATCCATTGGTGTTACTCCTATCCCAACAATCATCTTTGACTCTTACACTAGTTATGATTGAGCGGACATCCAATCAGGTAGTAATGTTGCAATCCTTCACCCTATTTCCTATTACTAAATACGATACGTCATCAACCACAATGCCTTCTACCCATCAATCTAACACCGATTACTCCCTATGTCCATAATTATAATGGATCATTCTATGTTCTTTAGCAGAGTTTAAGGTCCACACTTGCTTCCACACCACGGCATAGGTCCTTTGGTGCCAAGCCCCATGCTTGCCAAGATGAGTCTTGTCAATCCTTTGCCGCATCTTGCCATATTTAATCACTCATTGACTTGGATCACAATATGTATGTGGTTTCTCCAACGATGAAGTCATCCACAGGCTACCCCAAAGGGAGCTTGATCATAGAAGCATTGTCTTTCTCTCCATGGCTAGCCTAACATGCGGAGGGAAGACTACCGGGAATATGTTTATGTCGTTGTGCATGGCATGTGGCAGAAGGCCTTGGTAGGATAAGGGCCTGAGATAGAGCTTTTGCTGGGGAGCATCTAGCTAGACACCACCGGAGAGTTGTTGCCCCATCACCAAGGCCAACACCGTTGCCGGCAGCAATGTTGTTGAATGACATCACCATTTTGTCGGCGAGTGCCTGCACAGCCATCAACGTTGTATGCAATTTCTCCGACAAGGAATTCATCCACGGGCTTCCCAAATGGGAGCTCGATCATAGGAGCATAGCATTGCCTTTCTCCATGGCTATCCTAACCTACAGCAACCGTCAGGAGCATGTTGATGTGGTTACGCATAGTAGGTGGCAGAGAGCCTTGGTAGGAGAAGGGCCAAAGATACCACCTGGAAGCATCCAACTAGACACCACAAGAGAGTTGTTGCCCCATCACCAGAGCCTGCACAGTCACTAGCAGCAACATCGTTGAAGGACATCATTGTATTGCTGATGGGCACTTGCAAGGCACAATGTTTCTTTAACCACATTAATATTCCATTAATTGTTTGATCAGAATTAGCCAAAACCGACACAAGGGACTAGATGCACTTTTAGTCACGGTGAGTCTACTTGATTGGGAATGATCAGACATATTTCGAGCAAATATGAACGAAAGGGTAGCCACTAGTCATCACAAGAGATAGTTGAAAATATCCATATTGAAGAGAGAAAGAGGGAGAAAGTTGCTAGTACCATGAGTGTACTACTTTTTTTGAATTGTGTACAGTACATTTTTCCATGGGCACATAATGGCTTTTTTACATGGTTCCAAGTGTGCATCATGTATATGTAACATACACTTTTAAAAGCAGCATGCATGCATAAAGTATAGCTATAGAACTAAGCAAGTTTATCAACTTTGTGCAGAAATG